CACTGGTCTCATATAAGGCGACGGAATCACACGGAAGTGTGTCATCTCATGTTTGAAACAAACTGTTTGTACATTTGGGCACTTCTTCTGCAGAAATACAATCAGTTTGCGGCACAACTGTTCATCCAATAGATCCGTGTCTTCCGCTCTCATTTTGACGATTACTTCGTGACGAATAGAGATGTCATTAATTGTGTCGTAAATCACTTTTCGGAACTGTTTTGACACACTTTCGTGAAGAGATTTCTCCTCAAAACTGTTAAATGAAAGGTAAGACAGTATAAGTCGGACCAAATCATCGCCAAAACGGTCGAAAGAGTTTTTTGCGTACATTTGAGGCTATATTTAACAAAAAATACAATTTAATAACTGTTTTAATCATACAATTAATTAATTACTGTTTTGTTATTCATTCGTAAACTTTGACCTCAACTCCAAAACGAATCCAATAATTGATTTATCACTTAATGTTCAATACTTGCGATAATACCGTAAATTCTTATTGATTTTAAGCCAAAAACTAAATTAAATGTACTTTAAATACAAATAGTGTCACAAATAAAAGACAATTACAATAAATATGAATTCAATTCAAACACACTGTATATAAAGGCCACTATTACTGACTTAAGAGCTAACATAAGACATGAGCAAAATAGTTAAGGTTAGTGGATTAAAATGAATTATCAAATCACAATCAATGTTTTGGAAAATTTTAATCAACTTTTACCATTTTAAAAAGTGACAAAACAACATAAAAAGTTTTGTTAGGCTTAATAAAAATATGCCCTTTTAAACGTGTATTTAATGGACTCGAAGTTGATATAAATAATCTTAAGATGACATACAATTCAATATAGTTTTGAAGTTTAGTTTTTGTATTTATTTGACAATTCATGAAACAAAACGCATAAAACTTTTTAAAAATAAATAAACTTTACATTTTATTCTATCTGTGTTTTAATAGTACTTAAATAAATTAAATAATATTTAATATGATGTGTTTTAACTATTATTTATTATTGCATAAACACAAACACAATTTGAAACACAAACACATATTTTAATAAAACACAAAAATTTTAATTTAATCCATTAATTCATTGTTAGAAAAAAACAAAAATTCATATAATTTTCAAAAACTTAAATCTCAAACGAAATCCAAATCTCTATTAAAAAGCAAAACCAAATGTCGGAAATGGAGGTAAAGGCAGACAATTGCGGAAAAGTGGTAAACGAAAAGTACACCATTTGCTCGACGATAGGTAAGGGAGCGTACGGTATATGCTATGAGGGGCTGGACGTCCAGTCGGGCCAACGGGTGGCCATCAAAGTGGACACCAAAGGGGCCAACAGTTCATCACTTGTATACGAGACCCGTATATATAAGCGCTATCTGTCAGACTTGATCCAGAGTGAAACCAAATCGGGTATACCGGCGCTACTGTGGGCGGGCGCGCACCCGGAGTTGGGTCACATCATGGTCATGGACCGACTCGGGGCCGATCTGGAGAAGCTGTTCCAGCTCTGTGGCCAAAAATTCTCGACCAAAACCCTGTTGATGATTGCCGTGCAGGCCATCGACGTGTTGGCCGCCGTCCACAGCCGCGGACTCATACACCGCGACATTAAGCCGGAAAACTTTCTGATGGGTCCGGCGGGCGGTGGCCCTCAGGCGCGGCGGCTGTACATCA